AATTCTAGAACTGAAAAATAACTAAAATTTAAAGCTAAATAGATGAAAATAAATCTCAACAGATGGATTTAACAGCAGGTTTATCAGAAGTGAAAAGAGGTTTGGTAAAACTGGAAAATAAGACAAAAGATATATAGACAAAATCACAGAGCAAAAAAAGAGTAGAAAATACAGAAAAGAATATGAGACATGGGAAACCGTATAAATGTCTAATATATATATAATTGGAGCCCTAGAAAGAGAGGAAAGAAGTTGTGGTGGAGAATCTTCTAAAACTGATGAAAAATATCAGGCCACAGATTCAAAAGTACCGTGAACCCCATTTAGGATAAACAACAAATCTGGGCATGTTTAAATGTCTTCCAGCCAGGCTGGAAGATGGTAACACGGAGAGGGAAAGCTCTTGTCAATGAGGTTGGAGGCAGTAGATTAGGTAATGAATTTGGATTTTATTCTAATTATAACTGGAATCCATTTGAGGATTTTAGTAAGGAGAGATATATGATCTTCTAAGATGACTTTTCTGTTGTGTGGAGGATGCATTGCAGATAGACCACACAGGTAGTGGGGATGGTTCAGGTGAGCAATGCTTGCATTGGTATGGCATTATTGCTATGGCATACCATAGAGAGATGGTATGATTCAGGATGGATTCTGCAAGGTAGACCCCTCCACTAATGGATTGGATGTGGTAAATGAGGGGGAAAGAATTGAGGATAACTTAGACCTTTGAGCATATAGATAGGTAATGGTGCTATTTATTAAAACGGTAAAGGCTCACAGTGAAATAATTTGGAGGACCAATAAGCAGAGATCAGCAGGCCTGTTTTGGCCGTGTTAAATTGGAGGTGTCTATGAGATTCCAAGCAAGGATGTCCAGTACTCATTTAAAGATACTGGTCTGGGTACCTAGGTGGCTCAGTCAGTTGAGTGTCCAACTCTTGATTTCAGCTCAGGTCATGATCTCATCATTCATGGGATTGAGCCCTGCATCAGGCTCTGTGCTGACAGCATGGAACCTGCTTGGTATTCTCTCCACCACCCCCCCCCCCCGCCCCTTCCTAGTTCATGCATGCTTACTTGCTCTCTCTCTCAAAATAAATAAACTTTAAAAAATAAAAAATTGAAGATACTGATCTGGTACTCAGGAGAAGTCAGAATAAAGACAGAGACATGAGAGTTACCAGCATATGGTTTTTATTTAAAGCAACAGACCTGAATGGGCTCACCCAGGGGGATAATACAGACAGAAGACAAGAGACCCTGAACCAAATCCTAGATCAGTCTAACACTCAGAGGAAGTATAAATTACTGTTAGCAGAAGAGGAGCAAGAATTCCTATATATCACATATTACATCCTTTTGGCCAGATCTTAATCATACTGCCACAGCACAAAAGGAAGGTAGAAAATGTTGTCATTACTTTATTTTGGGTAACCAGACACCCATCTAAAAATGCAGGTTTCTATTACTTTGGAGAGCAGGGAAATGGATAATTGGAGTACAACTAGCATTTTTTCTACAGAGGTTAAAACAGGAGTAGGTCCAGCAAAGGAGAGTGAGAAGAAGCAGCCATTGAGGTAGGAGTAAAACCAGGCCATTGCAGCACCGCAGAAGGTTAGAGAAAAAAAAATGACGTTCTAGAAAAGGAAGTGAAGAGGCCAATCTTGTCAGATGCTGTTGAGGGGTTAAGTAAGATGAAGACAGAGCCTTTGGCTTTTACAAAAATGAGTATCATTGATAACATTAAGAGCAATTGCAGAAGGAAGATGAGGACAAAAACATATTTGAAATAGATTGAATTTAAGTGGGATACAGCAAATTGAGAAGTCTTTTGAGGAGTTTGGCTGTAGAGGGGAGCAAAGAATTAGCTAGAAGAGACAGGGATCATCTAGGTAAAGTTTTAGTTAGTGCAAGGTGCTATTAAGGGATATCACAATAACCTAAGAAAGAAGAATAATTTGAGAATTCATAATAGGGGTAGATCTAGGGGAATGGCCATGCCTGACATCAATGGGTCAGGAAAGGGGAAGGGCAGCAAATATTCATGATAATAGAGTTTACCATAGATTGCTTCTCATATTATTTAAATTCACCACTTTTGGGGGGGGGGGGCTGAATATGGTATACTTTAAAAAAAATTTTTTTTTAATTTATTCATTTTTTGAGAGACAGAGCATGAGCAATGGAGGGGCAGAGAGAGAGGAAGACACAGAATCCGAAGCAGGCTCCAAGGCTCTCAGCTGTCAGCACAGAGCCCAACGCGAGGCTCAGTCTCACAAACTGTGAGATCCTGACCTGAGCCAAAGTCAGATGCTTAACCAACTGAGCCACCCAGCAGCCCTATGGTATACTTTATTGGTGGTACATGACAAGGTAGGGCTCCACAAGTTCCCCCTTCTTCAGGAGGTCTAGGGTGGAAACTGTAGAGGTTGGGAAATTCTCAGTGTCAGGTGAGGGAGTGAGTTGGGGCAAGGACTCCCCAGCAGCTGAAGATCTCTCTCTTTCTCTTTCCGGGGCTGCTGGTTCAGGAGGCTCTTAACTCCTTGAAGGCCATAACGTCCACCACCCAGTTGCTGTAGCCAAATTCATTTGCCATATCAGGAAATGAGCTTGAAAGACTGGTCATTGAGAGCAATGCCAGCCCCAGCATTAAAGGTGGAAGAGTGGGGTGTCACTGTTAAAGTCACAGGAGACAACCTGGTCCTCAGTGTAGCCCAAGATGCCCTTGAGGGGGCCCTCTGATGCCTGCTTCGCCACCTTCTTGATTCATCATATTTGGTAGCTTTCTCCAGATGGCAGGTCAGATCCACAGCTGACATGTTAGGAGTGGGGATACAGAAGGCCATGCAAGTGAGCTTCCCATTCAGTTCAGAGGTGACCTTTCCTACAGCTTTGGCAGTGCCAGTAGAAGAACAGATGATGTTATGGGCAGCCTTTTGGCCACCACACCACAGCTTTTAAGGGGGACTGTCCATGGTCTTCTGGGTGGCAGTGATGGCACAGAATCATGAGTGGCCATCCGTGATGCCAAAGTTGTCAGGGATGACCTTAGCCAGAGAGGCCAAGCAGTTAGTGGTCCAGGACTCACTGCTGACAATCCTGAGGGAGTTGTCATACTTCTCACGGTTCATGCCCATCACAAACATATGGGCATCTGCAAAAGGGGCAGAAATGATGACCCTTTTGGCCCCACCCTTCAAGTGAGCCCCAGCCTTCTCCATGGTGATTAAGACCCCAGAAGACTCCACAACATACCCACCACCAGCATCAACCCATTTGTTGGTGGTGGGATCTCACTCCTGGAAGATAGATGGAGATGGGCTTTCCGTTGATGAAAAGTTTCCTGTTCTCAGATTTGACTGTGCCATTGAATGTGCCATGGGTGGACTCATAATGGAACATGTAGATCATGTAATTGAGGTCAGTGAAGGGGTCATTGATGGTGACAAAATCCACTTTGCTGGAGTTAAAGGCAGCCCTGATATCCAGGTGCCCAGTATGGCTAAATCTGTTTCCTCTGACCTTCACCATCGTGTCTCAGGGACGCGGCTGGTACTGCACCAAAAGACGCAACTGTCCATTGAAAGGGGAGGAGCAGAGAACCTAAATTTACCACCTCAAGGATGGAAATGGTATAAAAAAGAATGAAATCTTGCTATTCAGAACAACGTGGGTGGACCTAAAGGGTATTGTTATGCTAAGTGAAATGTCAGAGAAAGACAAATACCATATGATTTCATTTATAGGTGGAATCTAAAACACAAAACAAATGATCAAAACCCAGAAACAGACTCATAAGTACAGAGAACAAACTCCTGCTTGCCAGAGGGAGGGGTATGAGGGATGGCAGAAATCAGTGGTTAAGAAGTACAAACTTCCAATTATAAAATAAGTCACAGACATGAAAAGTACAGCATAAGGGAATATAGTTACTAATATTGTAATAGTGCTGTATGGTGACAGATGGTGATGACACTTACCATTGTGAGCATTGTGTGATGTTTAGAATTGTCAAGTCACTGTGTTGTGTGCCTAAAACTAATATAATGTTGTATGTCAACTATACTTCAATAATAAAAAGATGGAAATGGTATATAATGCATTATATCTCATTTATGCAAGAAAGATGAGATAACTCCATTCAACAAACACATTTTTAAAAGTAGGTCGGGAGAGGAGAGTTTGACCCTCGTATATCGAGGGTTCACCCTCATGTAATGGCAAACACGATACAGAGTATAAGGGCTTTGTTCTAAGTGTTTTACATTTAATTCACACATATGCGTGGTGTCCTAAATCCAGAGATTTGGCAAATTAGTGTAGTTATAGATTTCAAATTGAAATTAAAATGTTAAGGTATCTATATATTAGGTTTTTGTTACTTTCCACTTTTGCCAGTCTTGGTCACATTAGGTAAGAGGGCTTCTATACGAACATGGAACAATATTTATGTTATGGGGGTGTGTGTGTGTGTGTGTGTGTGTGTGTGTGTGTAAGGTCTAGAACAGTGTGTGTAGTATGGTATATTTGAATAAAAGGGGAATACATAACATCTTTTGGACTGTTCCTAAAAATTGGTAATAATGGTTATCTCTGGGGTGGGGGCTTCAACTCTTATGAAAATCTACAGTGTTGCTAATGTGCTTACCAAGTAATTTTTTTGATAACTAATTTCACTTTTCTTTGGTGATTCAATTTCTTACAGTGTGTCTATGACACTTTAGTGATTTCTTCTTCAGGGTAGATTAAATATTAGTTTGTCTTCTTACCATTTGTCTCTTTCAGATTTAAGTTAAATTCTAAAATAAAATTCTGGTAATTTGGGGGGTGGGGTGGGATGGTCATCCAAATAGTTGAATTCAAGGTCATCAGAAATTTACTATCAATATTTTCCAGCATGTAAATATGTAAATATCTACTTCAGGATTATTTGACATATATTTAATTTTATATCTTCAATCATATTATATCCTTATAGTGTTTTTTATCTTTGACAGGAATTAAAAGGTGGAAAAGCTTATGCAAAGGTAAGTGGATGTTATTTAACTCTTTTAGAACTTATGACTCTTGCTGTCTATAAGCTTAAAAATCAAATGGTTTGCTCTTCTTTTTTTAATGTTTATTTTCACAGAGCATGCACACACGAGCAGAGTAGGGGCAGAGAGAGAGGGAAAGAGAGAATCCCAAGCAGGCTCCACACTCAACACACAGCCCAACATGGGGCCCAATCTCATGACCATGAGATCACAACTGCAAGATCATGACCTGAGCCACTACCAAGAGTTGGACATTTAACCGACTGAGTCACCCAGGTGCCCCTCAAATGGTTTTCTCTTCTTATTGCTGTTCAAGTTGGCTGTTTTTAAATATAGATTTCAAATTGAAATAAAAATTGGAGGCACACCTGGATTGCTCAGTTGGTTGAACATCTGACTCTTGATTTCGGTTCAGGTCATGATCCCAGGTTTGTGGGACTGAGACCCACGCTTAGTGTGGAGCCTGCTTGGGATTCACTCTCCATCTGCCCCTCTCCCCAGCTCATGATCTCTTAGATAGATAGATAGATAGATAGATAGATAGATAGATAGATAGATAGATAAAATAAAGCAACTTGGAGATTGAACAACTGGACCCAACAATAAATTATAGACATACTCTTTCTAAATGCTGATTATGGGATGTTATTCTTACATTTCAGCTTCCCTACTAGAAGATGATCTCTGGTTTCCATTAAGCAATAGGATCTATTAATTCAGTCTGTCCTGGAAAGTATTCCCAATCCCACCTCCCCCACCTCCAGGGTTTTAGGACCTCTCCTCTGTGCTCTCTTAGCACTCTATATACATGTTCACTAATCTCCTTTATACTTTCACTACGTAAATGGAATTACTAATGAGTGTGCTCACCTCTTTGCTGAAGAGAAGGAGTTAGTAATTAGTAATACTACCAGAAACCCACATACTCCTCTTTTATTTTCAGTCTCTGATGGTATCTCCATCAGTTCAGTCATCAGAGCCAAGGATGGGGCACTAGCTTCAGCCATCAAATCTGCCTAACTCCTTAAAACTCCTTGGTTGCAGTGTCAGTTAGGATGCTCTTTGCTATAAGCAACAGAATACCCTTCTCACCTAGAGATTTGAATGTCACAAAACAAGTAGGTATGAAATACAGTTGAGATAGGAGATAGAGCTGCTTCAGGATTAGTTAATCCACTAAGTGCAGAACATCATCAAGAACCCATGTTACTTTTCTCTTTTCATTCTTCCATTCTCTGTGTGATGACTTTGTCCTTGGCTAGCTGTTCTCATGGTCACCAGGTAGCTCGAGTTTTAGTCCACACGTTCACATATGACAAAATCCAGCTGTTTCTCTATGTATGACTTTGAGTGAGAAAACTTTTCCTAGTTAGACCTCAGAGAATTTCCCCCATAGCTTTCATTAGCCACAACTAGATGATATCCCCACTCCTAAACCAGTCATGGACAATAGGAATGGATTGCCATGGCTAGCTTGTGATTAGTCTCACAGTTTAACAATGAGCTAGGGATTGGGTTACTTTTCTTTTCCACATAGATGAGCTAAGAGTGGACACTTGAATAAAATCAGGGTTCTGCTAACAAGGAATATCAGAACATTGAATAATGGTGGGTAAGCAAAAAAAAAGGATCTGCTGTGATTGACAAATCCTGTGACTTCCCCCTTCTAATTTAAAAACCATCCCTAGGGGCGCCTGGGTGGCGCAGTCGGTTAAGCGTCCAGCTTCAGCCAGGTCACGATCTCACGGTCTGTGAGTTCGAGCCCCGCGTCAGGCTCTGGGCTGATGGCTCAGAGCCTGGAGCCTGTTTCCGATTCTATGTCTCCCTCTCTCTGCCCCTCCCCTGTTCATGCTCTGTCTCTCTCTGTCCCAAAAATAAATAAACGTTGAAAAAAAAAATTAAAAAAAAAAAAAAAAACCATCCCTTTTTTTCCACTCCCAAGGCCAGTGCCTTAGGTTATACCTTCATTATTTCTTATTTAAAACCTGCACTGGCCTCCTATCTTTTGTTCTCTGCCTCTGATGTTTCCCTCTATCCATCCTCTACATTACTGCCAGAGTGATCATTCTGAAATTCAAACACAATCATTCTCGCCCTTTTAATTCTTCAACAGCTATCTATTGCCTGGAAGGGAAAACGAAATGAAAAGTCTTCAACCCAACATTTAGATCCATCTTGGTTTACAGATCATCTGTCTGTACATGCATATACTCCTTTTTTTAAAAATTATTTTCCAGAGTTTCTTTTTTTTAAGTTTATTTATTTTGAGAGAGAGAGAGAGAGAGAGAGAGAGAGAGAGAGAGAATGAATGTGGGTGTGAGCAGGGAAGGGGGAGGCACAGAGAGAAAGAAAGAATCCCAAGCAAGCTCCATGCCATCAGCACAGAGCCTGACACTGGGTTCAATCCCATGAACCTGGGATCATGACCTGAGCCAAGATCAAGAGTCGGACACTTATCCAACTGAGCCACTAAGGTGCCCCACTCACTTACTTATTCTTATGCTTCAGACATACTGCGCTCAGAAAATTCCTGGAGTGTGCCATGCTCTTTTAGCCTCTTTGCCTTGTGACTTGATGTTTTCCCTGCCATGTATGTGCTTCCCCCTTCCCTTGTCCTGTCACCACTTAGAACATTAAACACTCAGTTTAGTTGACCTTTCCCCTGAGAAATTCTCTTTTCTTTTCTGTCTTGTAATTGTGCCTTCCTCTGTCACAGCACTTACACTTTTTATAAGAATTTGTTTTCTTTCTTTCTTCCCTCACTAAACCGTGAGCTCCTTGAGGATAGGAGTGATTTACATTCCTGATGCCTGGTGTTACCTGAAATGTAGATGCTCAAAATTGTTTGCCAAATGAAGTAATATCTACCACAGATGTAGCTAGTGTCTATGCACACTTGCCATTTTAATGAGACAGTTATCTCAGTGAAGCCAGAGACAATCCTAAGGAAATGTGGACTATCTTGTGCCTCACTAGAATGTAAGCTCTTTCAAGACAGTCCTTATCTGTCCTGTTCATCACTGTTTTGTGGGGTCCCCAACAGGGCCTA